TGATAACCTAAGTCTCTACAAAGCAATCGCAGAGATCAGCTCCTCCACACAACAAAAAGGGTGAATGTGGAAGACAGCTTTTATGCAAAAGGATAAAAAACAGTACACTGCATTGTGGGGCAGACAAGAGTATCTGGCTATGCAATTCATCTTGCAACTCCCCAGGAAATGCAAAAGATCTAAAATATTGAACACTAACCTATTGCACTGTGAAGGATTATATTAACATCATTATTTTTCTTTTCCTTTTACTATTGGGCTTAACATTGTAAGGCAAAGTCAGCTAACCCAGATCAACTAGACTTTATGATCTGACTTTAGTAAAATGAAAATAAAATCCGATTGGCTATAATGGGTTATTGCACACAATGATCTACAGCATTGCTGTTTGCATGGATTTGCTCAATAAGAATAATAATTAATACTATCATTTATCTGATAGTACCTGTTTTTAATTCTTCATAATAATTTTATTTTTGTTCTTCAAAATAATCATCATCTTTATTAGCCCTAATTTCTCAAAATATCTAAGGAAGGAATTGTCTCCGACTTGTCTTCTGATTCTTTCATCCAACTTTATGGCATAGTGAGTTTTCTGTTCTGTGAGGGGTGATTTGCTTTACAAAATATTGGTATTATCAAGAAGACTGTTTTTGTAAATAAAGCGTTTCCTTTCTGGGATCATTAAAGTTTTACTAAATCCAAGACACTGCATTCACTATATCTGGTCTCCCACAGTACACAGAACATGGAAGTGCAATTAGTTTTAGTAAATATAATCTGCTAAATACATTTTCTCATCAGCAGTTAGAGCAGCCTTGTGACTTCTATCAGTGTCCAGCAGAGCCCTGGTTAAAGCTTGTAGGAGGAGTTTTCATTCTCCCAATTGCCCTATGAGTCTGCAGGACCCCTGGTCCTCTGTCCAGACAGCATTGATCAGCCCTGTGCTGATCACATGCACTCTCCCAAGAAAAAAACCTCTCTAGGAATACGCACCAAGTTTTCATTCTCCCAATTGCCCTATGAGTCTGCAGGACCCCTGGTCCTCTGTCCAGACAGCATTGATCAGCCCTGTGCTGATCCCATGCACTCTCCCAAGAAAAAAACCTCTCTAGGAATACGCACCAAACTGAGCATGTGCAGCTTGCCACCAAGACCGTCTTGTATCAGCAAATGGATTGGGGACTGTGGAAGAAGGGGAGGATCAGAGAAGACAGGATCAAATGACCTTTATACACAAAAGTGGAGGATTATCCCCTTAGGTTCCACAGTGAGTATAACAAGAATGCTTTACTGCATATACAGACTGATTTTACTGTTGCAGGTTTAGTAACACTTTAAGGGAAAGGCCAGTCATATCGGTATTGCTTGCACGATGTTCACGCTATGCTGTTTATAGTATACATCTTGAATGCAAAGTTTTGTTTTTTTTTCTGGTAATTTCACATTACTATTACTAGTAAAGATTTTACTGGAGACTTTCAAATTTGCACACGCTGGCCAACATTTTTGTAATTGTATTAAAGTAGATCTAAACACTATTACTAAAATCTGATATACTGAAAGGTTTGCCACATTAATGCAATTTCAAAAGCTGATTTCAAGCTTTTTAAATATGCAGCTTCAAAATAATACCGATGGTTCTGGCATGAAGGTCCTTGCTCAGGCTTTTCCTGTGACAAAGCAACAAAGATCTGACCCCATCTTCAAACTGTGCACCTCTATCATTGCCACATCACACAAGCCCCTGGTGAAGACCAGAAGTGTCACTGCAGACACATTGGACAGGCATGGCCCACTGTTGTCACTGTCAGGAAGTTAGATCAGAGTGGAGTGCAGTCAACACTGGAGCAGGTGTATATAAACAAGAAGTTGCAGAAAAAAGCTACAGGAGTTCAGAAGCATTGGGACACAAAAAGAAATGAAAAAAGGTAAAAACAAAAAAAAGTATTCTAAGACAAAAAATGTGTATATGGCACACAGGGTTTAAACAATCTACCAATCTGTATACATTGTAAATATAGTTAAATATACACTAATAAGCTATACATCTGCTTTAGGCTACGTTCACACTAGTGAAGCTATGACTTGATCTGATTTTCTGTGCAATTTTGTAGTGCGACATTGGTGCATTTTGATGTGGAGCTGATATCTGGGAGCCCCTTTATTGTTGCAGGGGATTTTTGATTTCCTGATATAGATAAACCCCTCTGCCTGCTGACCTTTACAAACACCGGGCCAGGGTTGAGGGTCTGCAGGAAGGGAGGTACACTCGCGCACACCCCCCCCCCCCCCCCCAAAACCATTTTTTTTGCATGAGGTCCCCCTTAAAATCTATACAAGACTCAAAGGGCCTAGTATGGATTGTGAGAGGGACCCTCGTGCCATTCCTTTGTTTACATTCTGCTGACAGCAGTGATGAGTTACTGATCATTAGGACACCAGTGGCTGCCTGCTCCTAGAAACCAATACAAACTACAGGCAAAAACACACCAAAAATCTATGTACAATCAAACCATGCTATGCTGCATTGATATGAAAGGGCACCATAGAGAATAATGTGACTGTGTGACACACATGTGAACCAGGCCTGTAAGTGTATGTTATGCCAAAAAAACAAACAAACAAATATATACAGGATAATTGTACGATGTGGGCTGACAACACACAACTGAGTGGTGTCAGCCCTGTCCAGTGTCCTTTTGAAACTACTCTTAACACTCCCCATATCCCCCACACTACCCAAATCCTTAATGGGTAGCAGGAGACAGTACTTTTTAATTGGGTCAAATTGAACTTAAAGCAGAACTTCCCCTTTTGGAGCTCCACTTTAACTTCAATTCAACCAAATAGCAAAGTATCGAAGTCAAATTTATTCTATTCAAAATTCACATTTCAGAAGACGGTTATATTCTATTCTCTTATATATTTTTTTCTATTCTATTCTTTTTTGTTCTATTCTTTTATTTTCTATTCTATTCAAATTTGAATTTATTCTATTCGAATTTCGGTATATGGTTATATTCCTTCTATTTTATTCTATGCTATTGTTTTTTATCTATTTAATTATTTTCTATTCTATTCTTTTATTTACTATCCTATTCTTTCCATTCTATTCTTTTCTATTCCTTAATTTTCTATTCTCTTATTTTCTACTGTATTCTATTCTGTTCTGTTTTACTCTATTCTATTCTTTTCTATTCTATTTTATTTAATTATTTTTTTTTAAATTCAAATTTTGGAAGGTGGTATATTCAAGTTTATTCTATTTTATTCCATTCTATTTATTTTCTATTTTATTCTTTTTTTTTCTATTCTAATATTTTCTATTTTATAATATACTTTTATTTTCTATTCTATTCTGTTCTGTTTTACTCTATTATGTTCTATTCTATTCTGTTTTACGCTATTCGTTTCTATGTTTTTATTTTCTATTCTATTCTATGTTATTCTATTCTTTTCAAAATTAAAATTATAGACAGCAGCTATATTCTATTCTATTACTTTTCTATTTTATTATTTTATTTTCTATTCTACTACTTTCTATTCTATTTTATTATGTTTTTTTTTATTCTATTCTGTTCTGTTTTGCTCTATTTTGTTCTGTAGTATTCTTTCTATTCTATTAATTTTCTATTCTATTTTATTCTACTCTTGTTTTCAAATCTGATTTTGCGTTCAAATTCGATTCAAATTTTAGACACAGTTTTGTTTCATTTAAATTCATTACTACTGTAATTCGAACATTCGGCTACATCCAAAACTTCGAATAACAAAAAATATGTAAAAATTTAGATTCAGAACAAAACAAACCGCACAGGTCTAGTTTCAATGAGTTTTTGCAGTCAGATACTTATTTAGGTAGGAGCAGTAATACTTCAATAAAAAGAAGCAGAATCCTAGGTGTATGAGATGAACCCATATGGCTACTTCCAAATATATAGTATGTAAGATTACAAGATATATATACACATATTGTTTTAACCACTTCAAGTCCGGACACTTTCACCCCCTTACTGTCCAGGCCAGTTTTCAGCTTTCAGCGCTATCACACTTTTAATGACAAGCCAGTGCCCCCCCCCCTGGCTTCTCCATCAAGATCAACAACATTTCCATCAGCCCCACCCCTCACGCCAGAGTACTAGGTGTAATCCTAGACTCCAATCTGTCCTTTCAGCCCCAGGTCCAATCGCTGACAAACTCATGTAGACTTCACCTTTGCAACATCTCCAAGATACGACCATTCCTAACCCCGGAACCACTAAGCAACTTATTCACTCCCTTACTATATCACGCCTTGACTATTGTAACTCCCTCCTCACTGACCTACCTCATCGCAAGCAAGCTATCCCCACTACAGTCCATCATGAATGCTGCTGCCAGACTCATTTACCTTACTAACCGCTCTGTATCTGCCACCCCTCTCTGCCAATCCCTCCACTGGCTTCCAATTGCCCAGCGGATCAAATTCAAAACACTAACACTGACGGGTAAAGCCGTTCATAACACTGCCCCTAAATACATCACCGACCTTGTGTCTAAATACCACCCAAACCGTACTCTCCGCTCCTCGCAAGACCTTCTACTCTCTAGCTCCCTTATCTCCTCCTCCCATGCTTATCTCCAGGATTTCTCAAGGGCTTCACCCATCCTCTGGAACTCCCTACCCAAAGCTATCAGGCTATCGCCTACTCTGCTCACTTTTAGGCGCACTTTGAAAACCCATCTCTTCAGGGAAGCCTACCCCGCCCCCAGCTAATACTGGAATCCACTACTCCTCCTACCACTCCATCCCCCACAGCTAATTACCTCTTGTACCACTATCCCCTCCCTCCTAGATTGTAAGAAAGTAAGCTCCAAGGAGCACTGCCCTCTAATCCCTCTTGTATTGAACTGCATTGTTACTGTACTGTCTCCCTCCATAATGTAAAGTGCTGAGCAAACTGTTGGCGCTATATAAGTCCTGTATAATAATAATAAGTTCTCCTTCTCTCTGGCTGCATTCTTGCAGCCATTGAGAACTACTGTGTGAGCTGATCCAAGCTTGTCACATGGTACAAGGCTGTTGTGAATAGACTTGTACCATGTGACCTCTGTGATCATTCACAGATTTCACACGTAGTAAGCAATGATGTCAGAAGTGACATCTTGCTTACTACTCTGCATGTGATCACTGATTGGCCAATCCAGAAGACACAGCGGGCACCGGATCGCGGTGCTGCATGCTCCCAGGGAGCAGGCACAAGCAGGGGGCAGGGAGGCCGTTTATAAACGGCCACCCGACACTGCACTGCCACCGTCCGGCTGTTTATATACAAGGGCCGGACAGAAGGTGGTTAAAATAACAAATTTCAAGGAGTGGAAACCACATTTATTTTCTGACATACTCCCCTGTTTACCTAATGTCTAGAAAGCTTTGGCATAGAAAGGTTTGTCAGTATGCCTGAGCCATCCTTGGGCAGCCTGCTTCACTTCGTCATTATTGTGTTCGGAGTTCCCACAATTATCCAGAATCAGACATTCCACGTTCTGAATGTTCGTATGGCCATCTTTGAAAAGTTTACATGATTCAAATGTCTTACTGCGGCCGAGCATCTCATCACCGCACTGTGCTTGAAGTCTTTTGTAGATATCTGCAGGTTTTATGCCTTCGTTCACAAGAAACTTCATCACCACACGCTGTTCCATGCATGCACTAACACTGTTGCCTGCCATCTTGATTAATGGTCTCTGGACTGGCCCATGACAAGTGCGCTGCCTATCAGTAATAGGACACACTTGCCACTTACTACTGCATGTAGTACCACCACGCTAGCATCCCTTTTTTTATCCCTTTTTTGACTTGAACATCCCTCGTATAAAAAGAATCGATGCAAGACTATGGAGTTGACTTACTAAAACTGGAGAGTGGGCTTTTAGCAATATAAAATGATTAGACACTACAAAAGAATCCACAATTGCTGATGAATGATATTCTAAAGGTCCAGGCAGACTTTTACAAATACCATGCTTCTATCACATTCTATTGTTGTGAAGCAGCACACAGGTCACATTATTATATTATTATACAAGGCAAGCCTATTCACTTTCTACTCCTCCTCCTCATTATAATCTAGCTACCTTCAGCTGCAATGTCTGCAAATGGTGTGGCTTACTATTCCAAGAGGTACTCAAATGTTGCATTCCTACCATTACCATTAAAAGGATCCATTCCAAGGCACCGATATGCAACTCTATTACTCTGCTATATTGTAGTCCAAGTTTAAACTTTAATCAGGGACTCAAATTGTTGCTATAAGAACAATAAATGTTTCCTATGGAACACATTTTAAAAGATATGCCTACAGAATTTCATGGTTGATGTCCTCATGCATGGACTCCCTACCCAGACCAAGTGTTGAATGGAGAGAATTCATGCGCTAGTCTTTAGTCATCCTCCCTTCATTGGTCAAGGTGCTTATGCTGCTGAGCTGCTAACAAAACTGCATTTTGTCTTGTTTTTTCATCATATTCTACCTCTTTGCTTGGATTACAGATCAAGATGCTGATGATGTTATGGAAGAAAAAAAAAAAAACAAAACACATTTTTGGCTTTATGTTACTATCCTCTATGCCTATCCAAAATGCTGATATGCTGCTGTGATGGCACTACATTCCAGAAAAAAATTAACTAATTCTTCTTTCATCTTCTTCACTGTTGGCTTCTCTGCTTCATATGAGATAATGCATATGCCTCATGGGGGAAAAAAAAATTAGTTTTTGTGTTTACTTTCAACCCTACCTACTTATGCAGGCCATAGATGGGTCGAAAAGCGGCCGATTTTTCTTTTAAAAAAAACGAACAATCGTCGTTCAAGTGGCCGACGTTACCACCAATGGTAAAAAAAAAAATCGGCCGATTTTCATCCCGTCTACAGCCGGCAAAAAGTGTCCCTGCAGAGAGCTCTGCTATTTCTGACAGTTCTCTGACAGTTCCTTGACATTTACAGCGGTTGCAACATTGTATCTATTTGTTTCCATTTAGGATACAGATGTTTTTATTTGGAAACAAATAGATACAATGTTGCAACCGCTGTAAATGTCAAGGAACTGTCAGAGAACTGTCAAAGAAATAGCGGAGCTCTCTGCAGAGACACTTTTGCTGGACTGGAATTCCTCTTATTTTCATCCTACTTCTTCTTCTTTTTCATCCTCATCCTCTTCTTCATCCTCATCCTCTTCTTCTTCATCCTCTCTCTTCATCCTCATCCTCTTCTTCTTCATCCTCATCCTCTTCTTCTTCATCATCCTCATCTTCTTTCTTTTTTCTTCTTCTTCATCCTCATCCTCTTCTTCTTCAACATCCTCATCCTCTTCTTCATCCTCATCCTCTTCTTCTTCATCATCATCCTCTTCTTCTTCTTCAACTTCTTCTTCTTCTTCTTCTTCATCCTCTTCTTCTTCTTCATCCTTCTTCTTCTTCTTTCTTCTTCTTCCATCCTCTCTTCTTCTTCTTCATCCTCATCTTCTTCATCCTCATCCTCTTCTTCATCCTCATCTTCTTCTTCTTCATCCTCTTCTTCTTCTTCTTCTTCTTCCTCATCCTCTTCTTCTTCTTCTTCTTCCTCATCCTCATCCTCTTCCTCTTCTTCTTCTTCTTCATCCTCATCCTCTTCTTCTTCTTCATCCTCATCCTCTTCTTCATCCTCATCCTCTTCTTCATCCTCTTCCTCATCCTCTTCGTCTTCTTCATCATCATCCTCATCCTCTTCTTCTTCTTCTTCATCCTCATCCTCTTCTTCTTCATCATCCTCATCCTCTTCTTCTTCTTCATCCTCTTCTTCTTCTTCTTCATCATCATCCTCATCCTCTTCTTCTTCTTCTCATCCTCATCCTCTTCTTCTTCATCCTCTTCTTCTTCATCCTCTTCTTCTTCATCCTCTTCTTCTTCTTCATCATCATCCTCATCCTCTTCTTCTTCTTTGTCCTCATCCTCTTCTTCCTCATCCTCTTCTTCTTCTTCATCCTCATCCTCTTCTTCTTCCTCCTCATCCTCATCCTCTTCTTCTTCTTCTTCTTCAACTTCTTCTTCATCCTCTTCTTCTTCTTCTTCTTCTTCAACTTCTTCTTCATCCTCTTCTTCTTCTTCTTCTTCAACTTCTTCTTCATCCTCTTCTTCTTCTTCTTCTTCTTCTTCTTCTTCCTCTTCTCTTCTTCTTCTTCTTCCTCTTCTTCTTCTTCATCCTCATCCTCTTCTTCTTCTTCTTCATCCTCATCCTCTTCTTCTTCTTCATCCTCATCTCTTCTTCTTCTTCATCCTCATCTTCTTCTTCTTCTTCATCCTCATCTTCTTCTTCTTCTCTTCATCCTCATCCTCTTCTTCTTCTTCTTCCTCATCCTCATCCTCTTCTTCTTCTTCCTCATCCTCATCCTCTTCCTTTCTTCATCCTCATCCTCTTCCTCTTCTTCATCCTCATCCTCTTCTTCTTCTTCTTCTTCATCCTCATCCTCTTCTTCATCCTCATCCTCTTCTTCATCCTCATCCTCTTCTTCTTCATCCTCATCCTCTTCTTCTTCTTCTTCACCCTCTTCTTCTTCTTCACCCTCTTCTTCTTCTTCTTCACCCTCATCCTCTTCTTCTTCCTCATCCTCTTCGTCTTCTTCTTCATCATCCTCATCCTCTTCTTCTTCTTCCTCATCCTCTTCTTCTTCATCCCTCTTCTTCTTCATCCTCTTCTTCTTCATCATCATCCTCATCCTCTTCTTCTTCTTCATCCTCATCCTCTTCATCCTCTTCTTCTTCATCATCATCCTCATCCTCTTCTTCTTCTTCATCCTCATCCTCTTCTTCCTCATCCTCTTCTTCTTCTTCATCCTCATCCTCTTCTTCATCCTCAACCTCTTCTTCTTCATCATCCTCATCCTCTTCTTCTTCTTCATCCTCATCCTCTTCTTCTTTTTCTTCTTCTTCATCCTCTTCTTCTTCTTCGTCCTCATACTCTTCTTCTTCTTCTTCCTCATCCTCTTCTTCCTCATCCTCTTCTTCTTCATCCTCATCATCCTCTTCTTCATCATCCTCTTCTTCTTCTTCTTCATCCTCTTCTTCTTCATCCTCATCCTCTTCTTCTTCTTCTTCTTCTTCATCCTCATCCTCTTCTTCTTCATCCTCTTCTTCTTCATCCTCTTCTTCTTCATCCTCTTCTTTTTCTTCTTCTTCTTCATCATCCTCATCCTCTTCTTCTTCTTCATCCTCATCCTCTTCTTCCTCATCCTCTTCTTCTTCTTCTTCTTCATCCTCATCCTCTTCTTCATCCTCAACCTCTTCTTCTTCTTCATCCTCATCCTCTTCTTCTTATTCATCCTCATCCTCTTCTTCTTTTTCTTCTTCTTCATCCTCATCCTCTTCTTCTTCTTCGTCCTCATACTCTTCTTCTTCTTCTTCTTCTTCATCCTCATCCTCTTCTTCTTCCTCATCCTCTTCTTCTTCATCCTCATCCTCTTCTTCTTCTTCTTCTTCTTCTTCTTCATCATCCTCTTCTTCTTCTTCATCATCCTCTTCTTCTTCATCCTCATCCTCTTCTTCTTCTTCATCTTCCTCATCCTCTTCTTCTTCCTCATCCTCTTCTTCTTCATCCTCATCCTCATCTTCTTCTTCCTCATCCTCTTCTTCTTCTTCTTCATCCTCTTCTTCTTTTTCTTCTTTTTGTCTTCCTCTTGCAGGTCACTGCTCATGCGCAGATTTTTTATCGGTAAAAAATCGGCCGATTAGCCCATTAATGCCGCGAAAATCGGCCGATCGGCCGATTTTTTTCCAACTTTACCAAAAAAAAAAAAACGGCCAAAATCCCGAAAAAACGGCCGAACAAATAGCCCACTAACGATCCGAAAATCGGGCAATTTTATTTTCGGCCGAAAAATCGGCCGATTTTCGACCCATCTATGGCCTGCATTAGTTTCAGTTGCAAGTACTGAATGACTGTGGAGAAAAAAAAAAAGATTTCTGTTATATTAGCGTTTTTAAAATATTGGCCTCACTACCCACTACATGGACAGTGCTGCTCATGCTGCTGAAGTTGTTTTGTCTTCATCTTATCAGCTCTGAATACTTTATCTTACTGTTAATTTATAATATGCATAGACAATGACTGCACTAAAGCACCAAAAAAAAAGAACAATAAAAATTGGCATAAAAGAACAATGTAAGTAAATAAAGACTGTCCTATTGGAAAAACCCCTTTTTCCTTATTTTATTTTCACAAACACACTATTTTGAGTGTGAATTCACATCATGTCCAAGTGAAGAGTGTTTTAAAGGAT